CGGGCGGCGGGAGGCGGCGGCGTCCTCTCCCCGCAGCTGCCTTATTGTTTCCCTGACCTCAGCCCTCGGCGGCGTCCGGCCCAGCGGGGCGGGGAGGCCGGCGGCGGTGGCGGTCGCGAGCTCGGCGGTGGCTCTGCTGGAAGTGCGGTCGCGCCCTCCTCCCGACGCCCTGCGCCGGCCAGCTGTCCGGGGATTCCCGCGGGCGGCGCCTGTCCGAGCGGCTGGGCTCCCGGGCTGTGCCCACGGGGGCTCGACTGCCGCGGGCATCGTTTTCTAACGTTTTAATGCGCTTTCACTCTGGGACTCGCCGAGTCAGAAGCCGACTCCGCCCTGTGTCATAGAATCGTGCGGAGCTGGTGCTTTACCTTCGCTCCTTCGTGGTGCCGACGACCAGAGCGGGAGTTGAAAGTGACTTGTCCAAGGTCACGCAGTAGGACCAGGGAGGCGACCAGAGCCCAGGTCTTGAGGCTGCGAGGCCAGCTGCCAGCCGCTCCGCTTTGGGGCCGTCCTGAGTGGTTTGTGGTCTATTTCAGATGCTTTCTATTGACCCTGCTGCATAGACCATTGGAGGGGAAAGTGGTGTCATAAGGAAAGCGTTCTTGTTATTTGTGCCTCTGGTAGAATTCTAGTTGTGCTGTGCTCCAAAGCAGAGCATCTCCCCTGGGCTGGGCATAGAAATAATGAAACTCCGTTGCTCTGTTCGGAGGCAGGTCCGAGAGGAGGTTTAAGGAAGAAATCTGCAGGCGCGGTGTGCTCCTTTCCTCTTCTGTTTCACCTTCCGTTCCTATAATACTTGTTTTCTTATTTTACGATTGATCGTTGTCTGTTTTAATAAGATTTTGTTTGCTTTAATGAAGTCGTTGCCCTTTTTGAATTAGTTTTCTGACTAGAAAATCTTATTTCCTGTGTGTTTAACGACTGGAACGAATAGCGCACTATAAGGTTTATATCATTGTCTTTCATCTTAGAACTACGGATCAGTCTGCTTTATTTGCCCACAAGCACTCAGCTTACCTATTTTCTATGTTAGTTTAATGTCGTTGAAACACTTTACAGCAAAATTTGAGTAAGCTTTATATGATTCAGGGAGAAACTTAAAAAAATCATTTTGTAGAACTATATTGTTCTTCACAACCTGAAGAACTTGAAGAACTGTTATTTGAAAAATAGTAAGATTCATTCTGACTGAGATGCCTGTTATTTTTCATACTCAAATTTTCATATTAACACATTTGTAGCAAAAAATATTTCCCCAAATAGAGTTTGTTTAAATATTCCTTATCTTGGCCACATCTTCCCAAGGGAAGTTACATTTTAGAATACTTATGTATTTCAACAAGAATATTTAAGGTTAGCAGAATTTGAGTTAATAGTTTAGTTTATAGTGCTGTATACCCTACAGTGTATCCCTTGACAGGTTTCTCTTGAAGAGTATACCTGTGTCAAGGGATATGGCTGTGAATTTGTCCTTTGTGGTAAGCAGTGATAAGTTGTGACATTAAAAGGTGTGATTTGTATGTGTTGAAACTGCTTCCTATCTCACTTGAGCTTGTTAATTAGTATTTTTATTGTTGCTTTGGGGAGGGGGGAAGTAGCAGGTTTGTATCTTTTATTTTCTAGTTTTAGCAATGTAGCAAAATAGGAAAGAGAGGTGGTGTGTAAGTTTGAGTTTGTCAGGAGAGACAGTAAAACAGGATAAGTAGACAATTGTTAGGAAACTGCCGTGAATTCATAAGCCGGAAGGACCTTTGTAGAAGTGTTTAAGTACATTAAGAATAGCATTGGGTTATTTTCTTTAAAAAGTCACTGTGGGCAATACTTGTGTGTTGGTTGTTAACATATGAACATATGAATTATGAAGACTTCTAGGAAAATACTTGGGAAAGATGGAAAATTTTATATTTTTATAGATAAGGGCTTTTTTCTCTAAAAACGTGTAATGCAGCTTAAAAAAAATGACTTTTACTTAAGCCTGAAAGTCTTATAGTCATACTGCAAAACCCACAGTTATTTTGACGCATGATCATTTGTAACCCAGAATGAAATCTGTGAGGTAATTTATTAGCATAATTTAAGTCAGACTTTGACAAGGAAATATTGCTTGATGTTAAATAGTTGTTCTTGTTTAAATAACTCTGTCATTTAAGAATGGGGAAGATAAATAGTTTTCTGAATAGAATGTAGTAATTATTCAGATGTGACAGTAGTTACTCACACTCTGCCTTTATTAGAAAATTTCAAGTTCTGTAGCGGTAACTGCCTCACCTGTGAGCTGAGGTAATATGCAAATAATTACTTTTTCACATGCTTGAGCATTTTACTTTTGGTAATATTAAAATTAGATTTTAAATTTCAAGATGATTCTTTCAGATCTGCAGTGATACGATAAAATGGCTTCGGTAGGAGATAAATATTAAAATTTAATTTTAATTCTTTTGACCATTTGTAAGTTCATATAGCATTTGGAAATCTATTGACATAGTATCAGAAAGGAGTTCTTAGGGTAGAAACTTTTGGTGGCTTTAGATGCTTCTCTGTAATGCTTAATTATTTTTAGAACATGAAAATATGGGATATTTTTATTTAAAAATAAAAATTCCTGTTGATATTTGTTAGAGCAATAGGACTCTGTTATGCGTAATGAGTGACATCAAACCATTTGAACTCTAAGTAATATTTTTTCTTAGTAGCTGCTGTGTGATAAATAATATGTGAGTTTATAATTCCTTGAAAATATTTAAGCAAACATACGTTTGCTGTTTATTTTGGTAAGCTTTTTGAATAGTTGAATGCTTTGATTCAAGAAGATGGTGTTTGGGGGATTTTATATCATGGCATTCTTTGAACTGGAATTTCTGTTGAATGTAAAAATCAGAGTCATTTAGGATTTTTTTTTTTTTTAACATTTATATAAGTCTTTAGAGTCTTAAAAATATTTGTCTTAAATATTTTTTCCTACATAGAACTCTTATCAGACTTGTCAATCTGATAGTTTTATTCTCCAAAAAGTTGTGGTTTTACCCCTTAGGCAGCCTAGCCTTTTATAGTTTAACCATTGAACTCTGGGTTCTGTTATTCACTTTAACCTCTTCTTGAAGAAAGGACAGTCGTAGGCAGTTAGAATTGGAAGTGATCTCAGAGGACTTCTAATGTAGCCTCTTACCCGGTACAGTAAATCCCCCATGGGAATTTCCATGTCAGGTGTTCCCTCTCGTTACTAGGGCAGTAATGCTGTTCCATATGTCATCAGGTTATTGAGCAGGCTGAGCTTGGTGAGAACAAACATAAGACGGTTATGTTTTTCACTGTACACTGCTTTCAACTATGCTTTGTAGGCTCTTCCTCTTCCCCCTTCCCCTCCCTCATGACATCATGGGCAAATGATAGCTTTTCTATCATTTACAGCTATTAAAAGCTCCAGTCTAATCTATTTCAGTTTAAACCTTCAATCTCCTGTTCAATTTAAAGCTCCTCTCCTCCTTTGCCCCACTGTCAGGCCACTTTTTACCTGAAGCACGTGGAGTGGGAGGGATGGTGGTGTGCTCCCCAATACCTCTTTTTCTTCTCTGTTTTGAGATCTATTTGGACAGGGACTAGTCAGAAGAAAAGTGGAAAAGGACAAGTATTTCTTACTGGTGCTATTAAAGCCCTCTCTTGATTAACAGTGACAAGCCATTAATGTCTGATAGGTGTCCACACTGGAATTTTTGGTGAGATCTTGCAGGGAGACTCCCCACTGCACTTCCTGGATGTGAAATTTGCTGTGGGTAAACCTTTTCCAGCCTGCACTCCCACCTCCTTGTTCCTGCCCTGTCAGTCCACCTCGGTCCCTATGAGTGTGGGGGTGAGGTGGGTTTCTCTCTGCCGCCAGATGTTTTCATAGCAGTAAGACAGCTCAAGTCCAGCTGCGTTCTGTAGTATCCACTTAACCCAGTGGCAGCTCACTTCCTTGTGATGCCAGATGGTGGCATGCAGGCTGCTTCAGTCAGTGCCCTTTCTCTGCCTTGCCGTTTCTCATCAGTTCTCTTTGCCCCCTGCTCAAATAGGCACAGTCAGTCACTTGGTCTGCTTCATAAGCAGACAGCGAACTTGAGAATGAGACACCAGTTCTCTCCTTGTAGGCACTTCTGATCTTGGTGAATGATCTCTTGGAGGCCCCGCCGCCCACACTGGTTTTGAGTGAATACCTTCTTCCTTTCCGTGGGTTCTGCCTGGAGACTTGGAAGACTTCTAATTTTTTCCCTCTGTTCTGTCAACTCCTTGTATAGAGTGGAGTGATGGTAAGGCATTGATTAGGGTGCCAGAGACCCGAGGTGTGCGTGTGGGGGGATGTTGGTGTCAGACTCCACAGATGTTTGATCCTTGATGTCTGTGTATCCTCACCTTTGTGTTTGTCAACAATTTTGGGACAAGACTAGTCCCACTCAACATCTAATTAACAGGTGATAGTGAAGTCCTCTGGGCCTAATGAGGTCTCACTGTGTAGAATTTAGTTTTTCTTTCTTTTTCTTTCCGTTGTCTCTTTTTCTGATTTTTGTTTTGTTTTTATTTTTTGCCTTACTTCCTGGTTCCTGACTGACGAAGTGTTAACTGTGAATATATTA